GGGGGGGGGGGGGGGGGGGGGTACGTCGTACCACACATGCGACAAATATTTGCCGAACGCAGCCGCAAGGAAGATACCGGCCGTGGATACAGACCGATGCAGCCGTCGCAGCGTTGGCAGATGTTTTGCCGTGGGCAGGGAGGTAATCGTCCGCACCTCCGAGTATATCGATACTCCGCACTAAAGTGGTAGTGATTATTTGATGATTCTGCTGAACCCTTCTCCTTCTCCTCAGCTCATCCAGTGGTCGCGAGAAATCCGGTGACGACAACATCCACAGATCGCTCGCAGGCATCGACCACCACGACAAGAAACAGACAGACTGCAACCAAAGAACGTCACCCCTCCCATTTGCTACTGCTCACAACAACATGGTCTACAGTACCCGTTCAAATGTTGAATTATTTCGCAACGTGCGAATGCTCGTTCAAAAGCTTACACAGCCTTTAATAACATCTCTCCAACCATCTCCGCTAAGAAAGCATGACGGCAAGGCACAGGTTCACACGGTAGACAAAGACATGGTAGATACCTTGAGGCCGTCGCAGGTTACGTCGTTGTCTAGATCCGGCCCGATCTCGCACGCAAGGGCCGCTTCGATCAGCTTAGCCGCCTTTTGTAACAAAGAGAGAGATCCGCATGGGAATTAATCACTCACCGTGCACGTGCAAACGGAGGCCAATATAGCAACAGCACCGGCAGCAGTTAGGTAGGACACGTAGTCGTGGTAGCAGCACAATATAAGGGTTCGTTCAAAGGGGTATAGGTAGGAGTGGGGATAGTATGCTAGCAGCAGAAGCAGACAACTCTGCTGCCACAACTCCTCCCTCCACCCCTAAGCCACGAGAACAGCGGTAGCCCCGTACAGACTCTGAATCCCCTCTTACATTGCTCTCTAGGGAACCAAAAAGAAGAAGGCACGGCGGGAGCGTAGCCGCACGCTTGCAGGGAAAACCGCAACAACACTAGACCCTTTAGGTTGGGTGTGCTTGACGGCCCATACTGTTTGGAACCCCTGCTGAGCCACCAGGGAGCCAAAACAGCAAAGAGGTGTTGTGTAGTTGCTTCGCTGCGGCTGGCGAATCCCCTACCAGCACCCCGCACGCCCACTACATCTGACCATGGTTCCGGCTACGAAGTGCCGTTTCACGTCAAGAAAGCGCTCCACAAGCACAAGAAAAGGACATCAACAACCGCAAGGAACGGCGCGCGGAACCGCGCAAAGAACCTGTTTCAGTTGAGGATCGCGGGGATAGTGATCCAACGAGAAGAATAATCTTCACCAGTGAGCAAAACCCCCCACCAAGACGTGTGACACACTTAAACTAGCACACCGTATCGGATGCGTGTCTATGATCACATACACAGACCACGAAGACTGCTGTGCCGTGTCTCTCGAAAGGGCTGCGCATCTCAACAGGTAAGACGATCGAGGTTTGAAACAAGCGACCCCCCCCCCGAATGTGAAACGCTTGGTTACCCGAGACATCCAATCAACTCACGGCAAATCTGGATCGATGCAGCAAACGCAAAGGATAATGACCAGCTGTGGTTGTGAAACGTAGCCCGAGCCGGCAAAACCCGGCATACATATCGTTCCGTCCTGGCATGCGAGACCTACCCGACTATGGCATGCGTTTACACAAGTACACCCCGCCCCCCACGCTGCTTCACACCTTCTCCAAGGACCGGGAAGCCTTCTCGTGTGGCGTCTCCGCATCGATGGCCGCTAGCTCGCCCAGCTCAGGCGAGAACGACTGCAGCCGCAGCAGCACGAACTCCGCATAGGCGTCCAGCCACTCCGAGAAGGGCCGCCCGTCATCGTCTACGTTGCTGAGAGGGTGGGGGGGTGGGTGCGTGGGGGGGTGGGGGGGGGGATGAGCCGGCTGTTTCTTCCAGTAGGAAAGAGTGTGGCACGAGGGATGCATGGCGCATGTAGAACGAGCTCTTCTCGTGCGACGCGTGCCATTCGTTTGCCCACCATGGCCACACACGCCGTGCGCGCTCGCGTGTCCGACGGGACGGGACGAAGCGGCGCCGGCGTATATACGTGCTACGACTTTCCACCACAAGACCAACAAGCGGAACCGAAAGCCGACAAATAATATTTGCACGTCACACGCAGGTTTTGCAGCCCTGTCTACGCCTCCTGTAGCACCACCCGGTACCCTCGGCGGTCTCGCCTTCTCCAAGAGAACACGGCCACACGCCGACAGCGCATACGACGACGACGACCGCAAAACTACATTGGAAGGCATGCTCGAACAGTACGTACGTATCGACGAGACTTTCGTGGCTGAAGAAGCAGCGACTAGGTAATCCAACACCCCGCCCCGCCCTCGTCCCCCCCCCCCGCGGCCCCATAGATGCCCCCGGCCCTAGAAACTGTCTTCATGGTCAACGTACTTCTCCCCCAGCAAGTTTTGGTGGCCGTAGGGCGAACAGGATCGGATGGGGGTTGGTCGGTGAAATCGTAATCGTCCTTCTAGGCAGAACAGAGGAGAACCAAACGCCACAAGCCCACGAGCACAACACCGCCGCCTCCAAGACAAACGCCACCTGATGACTCTGCGGCTGAAGTAGCGGCTCTTGGTGCCCTTGTCCTCGTCGCGGCGCATCTCCTGCAGCGTCGACCGGAAGTAGCCCCAGCTCTCGGCGGTGGTCCCCCTGGCGAGGCGGTGCAGCACGTAGACGGCCTTGGAGGCGGTGCGGTAGTCCCTCTCGGCCATCCTCCTCCAGAGCTTGTGCAGGGTCATCCAGTAGGGGCCTTCCTTCCAAGCCGCCTGGCCGCCGTCCTGTGTGGTTGCGTGTTGAGGAAGCGTTTTTTGGACATCGGTGTTGTTGGTTGAGAGAGAGGGAAAGAGAGGAGAGAGAGAGGGGGGGACAGAGAGAATGAGAGAGAGAGGAGAATAACCAAGCGTTTTGTACAAAAGGTCCAAAAGGTCCAAACAAAGCGGTTTGGAGCGCATGCGTAGCAGTAGCGTTTTACCTCTCGAACGGGCGCTACAATAATCTTTCCGCGGTTGCATGTATAAGATGTAGACCCAGCAGGCGTTTTACACACCTTGGGGTTCATGTAGACGGGGAAGGCGTGCTCGGCGGCCTGCAGGAGGAGGTTCACGTGCTTACGCTTCGCCGGGTCGTTGTCGGGCCTGGTGGCCTTGATCAGGGTCTTCTCGAGGTCGGAGGAGATACTCCCCTGGCACACACAGACAAAAGAGATGCGGAAGCACACACAAAGCGGCGGGAAAGACGCGGGTGGGTGTGCAATGTCCGCCAAGCGTCTCCAATGCGGGTTGGCATTATTGCGGGGAAAGGCTTGTTGCGCATCACGCCCACGCCCACGTACGGCACTGCTGCTGTTGTCCCATTCCACATTTGCGTGTTCTCTTGAATCAGCCGGTCAACGCAACACAACAAGACGAAGAGTCCGGTACCAGGCAGGTATGCACACACACGGAACGCAGAAGAAAACAACCGAAAGCCATCGACCATGTGTCGTTGTCAAGCGTACAGAGCTCCCAACGAGGAGGAGGCCGGCACACGAAGCAAGTCCAACCACCAACCCGACCTTCTCCTCCTGCCCTTCTTCCACGCCATGTGTGCCTTGTCAAAACAACGCTAAGACACGCTGGATGAGGGAGGCGGCTAAGTATGCAACGCCAACGAAAAGGCCCTCCACAAAAGTATTCCCTCGGTTTGGCATCAAATCGTTGGACGCTGGTCCGATCGAAAGAGACAAACGAGCGAGAACCTTTCCCAACACACCACAAAAAACCGCACCCATGGTGCTCTTTACTCTCGACTGTCGGTCGCACCTTGAGCTCGCGCATGACCTTCGCCCCCTTGTGGGTCACGCCCGTCATCTTGGTCTTGAGCCCCACCTGGGCGTCCGCCAGCTTCGCCTTCAGCCGCTCCATCCGCGCCGGCGGCGGCGGGCCCCTCCTCCCGCGCCCGCGCCCGCCTCGGGACGGCCCCCCTCCCCTCCGCTGCCCTCCCTCGCCCCTCCTGACGGGCGGTGGCGGGCGGCGGCCGCTGCTGGCGCGAGCGTCGCTGTAACCGTCGTCGAAGGAATCAGCCCCGAAGGAGTCGTCGTCATCGTCTTCGTCTTCGTCGTAATAGTCGTCGTTAGAGCCGTCGCCCCCCTCCCCGTCAAGGTCGTCGTCGCTATCGTAGAGGCCCTCGTCGTCGCTGAGGTAGTCGTCGTCGTTGTTGGCCCTTGCCGCTGCCGCCGCTCCCACCGCCGCCGGCCCCTTCCTGCTGCCCCCCCTCCCGCTTGCTCTCGCCCCCCCTTCCCCGGCAGGCCTTCCCCTGTACGAGAACTCCTCCCCGGACAGATCGTCGACGTCGTCATCGGAGTAGTCGTATCTGATGTCCGTGTTTTTTGGGGAGAGAGGTTGTGGAACACACAGCGGGTGCAGACAACAAGATTTCCCGGCTTCGTAAGGATGGGAAAAAAGAGTGATCGGTGGTAGAGTTCGAACAAACCAGCAGAGGCACACAAATGCAGCCGGTATTTGTCCAACCACGCACACCTAGAGTAGGCGGGTAGGTATGTACATCGCTACAGCTGCTGCTGCTCGGTGTAAGACCCGCCGTGCCCCCGTGTGTTCTCCGTGCTCGTGCCTCGCTCCATCCACACAAAAATCTCACCCGTCGCTCTCATCGTCATCATAGCTGTCGTCGTCCTCGTCATCCGCCCATCTCACTTGCCTCCCCCCTCCCCGTCCTCCTCTACCCGGCCGCTGCCGCACATCACCCCTTCCCCCCGCAGCGGGCCGTGGCCTGGCCCCCCTGCCGCCGCCACCCCTCAGCGTCTCCGCCACCGATATCGCCTCTCCTCCGCCAGCTTGGGCCTTCACTGCCCACCCCCGCCGCCGGCCAAACAGAGACGTTTCCCAAGTGCGCCGAGGCTCGGTAGGGCTTTGTGCTGCTGCTGTGGCTGCCCCTGCTAAAGATATCATTGAACCCAACCCCCCAGACAAAAGAAGATATTGATTTAGCCAATGGGATGGATTACAAAGATGCGCGAGCGTTTGGTAGTAGTGTGGGTTGCTGATACTGCTGCTACGGTACAACTCCAGTATCCCATCACACATTGCACCCTCTGGTCCAGCGTGTTGTCATTGAGACACCTGCTGATCGACCCTCCTGCCCCGTCGTGGCGGTCACAGCACTGCTGTATCATCGGTTGCACAACCTCCCCTGCGTTGTCTCTTGCCCAAACGTACGGTACCCCGCAACAACGTGGGAAGTACAGGCCGCACCGGGTGGTTTGCACTACTGGGACCGAACTTGCCACCACAGGCGCTACTACTAACTGTTCTAGGACGACGTGGGGTACGTTTGTGAAGCGTTCTCCGCCCGGCAACGGCCGCAGCGCCGGAGGAGCGGCCATGAAATGGGCGGATGTGACAACACGTGTTTCGTTCTCCCAAACGACACATGTAGGGAATCTTGGGTTGAGCCACATGCCTTAAAACCAAGGCCCCAACCTACAGCAGCAGCACGGATTGCTTTCACACTCTTCCCTATCTCGGTGCGTCTGGGTGGAGCACTTGGCGCCTCTGTGCCGCCGCGCAACTGCTGTGTGCTTGCTGTTCACACGGCGGTGTGATGCATCAATCACCTGTTGTTGCTGGATTCGTTCGTGCCGTTGGCGGCAACCGTCCGCTTGACGTCCCAGTCGTGCGGCCTGCCTCAGCCACGGACACGAGAAGGAGGAAGACTCCGGCACCGGCCAAGGCAAAGCGGCTCATGGCGGACGAGAGATCGTCTCTCATGGCTGTGTGTCGTTTCTTCCGCAAGCTACGCTACGCTGCTGGGACCGACTTCGCAGGTGAACCGAGAGCAAGAGAGAGAGCGGGATGGGGCACCGCAAATCATGCTAAACAAGCGGGGGGGATATCACTACTACCCTACAATACGTTGCCTAAGATACCACACCCCATGGACCAGTATCAAACGTATGTATTGTTCTGTGCTGTATGTATTATTCGATGATGAAGAGGATGCCAAAAACTCAATGACGCATTTTCGGAAAGCATCGACCTCTCGACGAGACACGTCCAACTCCGCCATTTCCGGCACCATCACTGTTTTTTCCTGCTGAGTAATCGAGCTTTGAAAATCGACCCAGGGGGTATGATATCTTACGCAACTTCGGAACTGGCTTACTCGTTGTTTCCACACAGCTGACCCACACAGGAGGTGTCACATGGTTTTGGTTTCATAGATTGAGGTGTTCCGGGGGAGGTGGACTCAAAACCCGTCTTTGAAGCACATGGAACAACGGCGTCGAGGTCCACAGACAGGTTCAATGTCTTGTTTTCGCCACCGTTGATATTTGTGGGGCAAAAAATAGTAAGTGTAGGATCCAACCGCGCACATACAAGCAGTATGCAATTTAATGAGAATGTGAACCTCTGTTTTTTTACGCGTTTGTCTAAAAGTGCAGGTCCGTAACGAACCACTGCTGCTAGGAGAGGGCTGGGATGATTCCTCCGACGATCGCCACCACCATTGATTCGAAGCGTAGGTATGGGTGCTTGCCGGCGCAAACGTCCACCACGGCCGTCACACAGAAAAAACGGGTTGCATGCCAAGACAGCTGAAGTACGTGAATTGGTGGCCAGCGGGAACACACAACAACGTATTTCGTGAAACGGCAACGCCACCGCAGCAGCAGCTAGCTGTTGTCCGCCACTCCCTCTACATCCACGTAGGATTCACATCCCGCCCACCCCCATAGAAATTATGATGGGACACTATGGGTTAGCTTCACGGACGAGCTACCACTCACTGCCGTGCTATTACCATCCCAGCCTCTAAATCTTCTCGCTAGCTTTTCATTCCCCACTTTCGAACAAACGTTCGGTCGAACGGTGGTGTACGAAGACCGGCTCTCCGCCTTTGTCGATCGACAACCAAGCAACCTCCGGCAAGCCCGCTACGGCTTCTGACCCCCCTCCTCCCGCTTTCCCGGGCTCGCCGGCCCTGACCCGTCTAGCTTCTCTGACCATAGCGCGCGCGGCTTCCGCGCAGGTCATCTGCGAAAACGGTGGTTGTTGTCGCCGTCGCCCTCGCTGCCGGACCCCCCCCCCGGGGGCGCCCTGTGTGCCGCGCCAATCGCTATCTTCCCCACTACCATTACCACCTCCCCCACTCTCTTCAGTGCTGCGGTCGTCTCCGTCTTCCTCTGCTGCATCATCCCGACCTCCTGCTTCCGGCGACCACCCGCCGTTCTTCTCCCGCTCGGCACTCGCAGAGGGGCCGACGCCGCTAGCGCCGCCGCTGACGGCTTCTTTCCCCGGCGCCGGCGCCGGCGCCGCTGCGCCGGTAACTCGGCGGTGGAGCCACTTCCGCGCCCGAGAGCTCCCCCTCCCCGTGCATGCCGCTCTGTGCCTACGCACGGCTCCGCCCGGGTCTACCACGTACAGCTGGAAGCCGGCGTCCCGATCCATCACCAGTCCCTCCCCATCGTCGCTGTCGTCGTCGTCCTCCTCCTCCTCCTCCTCCTGCATCCCCTCCTCCGCTACTGGCTGCCGGTCGTCGTGGAGCACGGGTTCAACTCCCCCCCCGCCCTTCTCCACTACAGCAGTTTCTTTCGTCTCTGGCTTAGACACGGACTTCCCACCAGTAACAACAATGTTGGCATCACTACCACCGCTACGGTGGCCTCCTTCTGATCGTAGAGAGGCGGGAGTGTCCGGCGCACCCTCCCCCCAGCAGGCCACGAACAGCGCGTTGGGGTAAGCCCGCGACCCCCAGCGGACGCACGCCGCGTGTATGAACTCCCCCAGGCGCTCCGCCAGTAGCCGTCCCGGGATCGGCTCACCGTACTCGCGGCGGTGGGACCTATCGCGGATAAACGGGGGAAGGGGGCTCATAACTTTTATGCCTTAGCGGTTAGACCACGCGTCCTCGAGAGGACGGAGCGGTGCCCCCACGGGACCGATCACCGATGATGGCCAACCGTTCCTGGGGGGGGGTACTGATCTGTTGCTTGTCCAATGTGGTCTTCTTCCCCACCTGACTCCGCATTCCTTTCGAGATGGAATATCTTCCTCTGGGTAACTAGGCATACGTATTAGGCAGTGAACACTGCTGTTGTCGCTGATTCTGATGCACTGGCCGCGGTTTACTTGAGCCATCTTGGCAATGCCTTTGCTCGAGCCCCAGGTCCAACCCCACAGGTGACGATAGATCAAGCCACGCCGTCCTTAGACCGTCTGGACTTAACCAACCCATGAGATTCCGGGAGGCATGGGGTCATGACCTCACACTAAATATTACAACACAGGTGACGATCTGATCCAACCTGAAACATTTTTATCCAGCGCTGGCCATGAAATTATCTGACGTGGCCCGAACAAATCACAAACGGCCTGAACCGTAAGCTTCAACACAACAGGTTTGTGATCGGAACCAGAACTTTCGCAAGTTGCCAGCACCAGTTGAGACCAAACTGGGCCTGAGCCGTGACATTTCGACCCCCCACGTTGTCCTGCGGGTCAGGTCATGTTTCTGGGCACGCCCTGAGTTTTGTTTTTCTCGCGGGTTTTCCTTCCTCCCTTTTATCTTGCGGTTCACGGTCACCATTCTTACGTCGTCCTCCAAAAGCGATCTAAACTTCACACCATTATTGCGTAAATACACCGAAGTCGCGGATGCACTTAAATGATCGTTGACCTCCTCTGATAAATCGCGGAAACCCGCCTCGGTTATTGGGGTATCCAGCTCATGATTTTTCTTCACCGCAGCCGAACCGTGGGTGTGCACGTTTCCAGCACCTGAGCATCAGCTCCGAGGAGGACATAGACCCCGCTCAGAAAAAAAAAAAACGACCCCGGCTGTTGTGAGAATGCCCTGCGAGGAAAAGAGCTGGGACCGTTCTCTCATCGCGGTTGCTCTGGGAATGAAATCGTGATTTCTTGCCCCCGAAAGGTTCTGGCCACGCAGCTACAACAAAACGCCCTTTTCTTGAAGCACACCGTTCTTGTCTCGTCGAGCGACGGCTCATCGCGAAAACTGCGGGCATCAAAAAGCGTCTGAGTCAAGTTGTGTCTAGGTACAGAGCGTCGGCTCCGCGGATACGCCGCGGAAAGTACAGCAGTTACGAAAAAGGATGTCGTGCTCCATGCCACAGCAGTATTGCTGGAACCCTAAAGCTCAAGCTCTATCTCGGTGCATCAGAGGGGGTCTACTGCCTCTGGACGGCGGCCCAAACCACACCATTTCCTCGCCAGGTGCAGGGGGTTAAGAACGAACCGAGACACGGATTGGCAGCTGCTGCTATCGATGTCTCCTGTCACGTGGAATTTTCTGAGGCCCTCGGAGGTCTGCACTTCTTCCCCCCCCGCTGTGATTCAGACCCTCTTGGAGGAGGCAGACCCACCACGCAGAAACAGGGCTGTCCCCAAGGAAAGAGGAGCGCCCAGGAGACTGCTGTGCCAAATTAGAGATGGAGTAAGCTACCAGAGGGAGTCACTTCAGCTGGGATGCAAACAGCCGACGTTTCGAAGCCGGCGACAAATGCCGGGAAAAACTCGGCAGGAGTCCGTACGTTTTCGACAAAGCCTTAACAAACTCATGACAGGGAAAAAAGGTTCCCGCCCTGCTTTGAGTGGTTCAGCGAAACTTACCCAAGCTTCACCCAACAAGGCGATGGCACTATTGCCCCAAGGTTTCACAAGTGTAGGCAACGGCAGCAAGAAAAGACAGAGGTAGGTAGCGGCGCACCTGCAGTACTCCATGGCCTTGTGCGCCAGAGCTCGCCCGTCAGCAGGCAGCCCGGCCGGTAATATCCCTGTTTGTTTTGATTCCGAGTGTTGGCCCAGCAAGAACAAGGAAACACGAACACACACACCATACATATCAAGCTTTCGAATGATAGAAAATTTTGTTTATCCGACAAAGGAGGTGTACAAGCTCATCGACGGTACAGTACCGGTTTCGAAGACGATGGTACGCTTGTGACAGGTGTGATGAGGAGCAGGCGATCGTCATCCTGCTGACGGTGGCGTGCGGAATGTGGAATCCTCTTCAAACGATAGGTACGCGTGGAGGTTGGTATACGTGGAGATTGAGGGAGGCAGCTGCTTTGAAAAAAGAGGTGCCGTTCAACTGGAAAAAGCAAGAGCGAAGATGGACCAGCAAATAAAGCACGGCATACTTTTATCGTAGAACACGACATCTCACGGCGTTTTTCGCATGTTTGTGCGAAGGGTGGGCAGGATTGCGCTGTGGTACAAGACAACGGACTGCGCAAACGGGGTTTGAGTGAGTTTAAGTGTAATCCGTGGATGATCTTTGTCTATGCATGTGTGCGCGTTGGGGGGAATACGTGGAAGGCGGACGCATTTTTCGTCTGGACGATCGCATGTGCCAGGAGGGGTGAGGAACTGTGCTGCTACCCTACCTGACCGTACCGGTCGGGGGACACCCGGACGAAGCGATGGCAGTTTCGCCGATGACAAGCGAATACAGCAGCAGTCATACGCACTACAGTACGCTTACTGTACACAAACATGTGGTCACAGACCGAATTACGTCCACGCAAATGAGCGCTTACCAGAGGGGGTATGGTCACTTCTTCTCTCCCGCGTCACCCCCGTACCTTCCCCCTAACCTAAAGATGTCCAAAGCTCAAGCCGCGAAAAGTGACTCAATTGCTTCAAGCTTTCGACAGGGGGCTAGCTCAATGCAACTTAGATGGAGCATCTAACTTTTGATATTAGTACCATCATGGGAAGGTTGCATGGCCCCTGACCATTTGTTGAGCAAGGGTACAAAACTAGAAGAAAAACACGCCCCACTGCCCGTGCAAAACCCTCTCTCACCGATGTGGGAGTCGACTCGAAACACGCGCCGTGTGCCCCCGTCCACCAACAGCTTTGCCGCATCCGCCGTCACCAGCTTGTTGGTCATCAGAACCTTTGATGTCCATCGTATGCGGACATGCAAGCAGAGGTGTCCGAGGTGCCAGCAGAAAAACGTGTAAGAAACTAATGTGCACCAGGTGTGTTGTTACGTAGGTGGGTTTAGACGGCGCTCGAGTAGGCGGATGGGAGACAGGTACGCGCACCGCACTACAGCGTTGAGGTACACTGATGTCGTGTCATCGCTGCATTCGTCGCACTCAATACCTCGAAAGTTTTGAAGCAATCAACAGCCAAGGAATGCCGTAAAAAGCCTACAGTTTTCGGAGTGCGCCCAGGGATATGATACAGGCGGTTGGTGGTTTCATCTGTGCGAGGATCAGCGTATGTAGAGTATGGAGTAGTTCGTGGGATGTTCAGGGTCATTCGCCCGTGATATCCTTGATGACAATGCACCCCAAGAAGTACCTGGCGGCGCCCACCAGCGTACAAGCCAGCAGGTAGAGCTACTACTACGACTTCAACTTTTGCAATATGCAAATAAATGGTTAACGTGCAGTGTTCGAACTCACCACACCATCCTTGCACTCGGCACCAATGCAGAGGTTGCCCCGCTTCACCAAGCCCTGTGGTTTTACGCCGTCAGCACGTCCAATCGCGCGCCGCGTGTGGAGGAGGTGAAGTGAGCTAGCTAACAATGACCGTGGTTCGCAACGCTCTCGAACTATACGGTGCGTCTCCCGCAGAGAGAGGGAGATCTGCGGCAACCCGAGTAGAATACTGCTGTAATATCATGACAAGGACAAACACCCAGCCGTTTGCTCCGCGCGCTGCATCGGCAGGCGTATGTATCGCTCCGTCATCCTACCGGTGTGCATGGCGCGTTATTACCTCCACGTAGTCGAGCTGGACGAGGCGGCCCTTGGGGCTGAACACGCCCTTGTTGGAGTCGTACGCGCTCTCGGCGGACCTCGATGAACCCTCCGCCACGTGCTGGTTGTAGCACAGCAGGAGCAGGCGCAGCTGCAGCAGCAACCACACCCTCATCCTGAACGCCAGCAGTACGGCCGAGCGGGTTGCTGTAAGTCTACTTACGGCGTAGCGCCGTCCGTCCTGTCTGGTGCTGCGTTTGGGCGTGCTACTGCTGTAAACTCTACTGTAAGCTGCTGTAAGCTGTTGTAAGCTGCTGTAAACACTCCGGCGTAGGGTGCGTGCGGTGCTTTGCGGTAACGCCACCTTCCATATCTCGGGGGGAAAATTAAATAAAAAGAGCGAGTTTTTGGTTTGTTTGTTTTTTACGACGGTGCAACAACACCAACCCACCACAACCTGTACGCGCGCACACACCGAGCGGCCCCGCCCCCGGATGGATCAACCCAGAGAAACGACGGAGAGAAAGGGAGGAGGGTATAGCTGGGCAGAAGATGACGACCACGCTCGTGTGCTGCTGGCACTCCACCTAGAGCTGTTAGCCTACGGATTGAATGTTCATCACGGGGGTGATTCGCCCGCCGTGCGCATGGAGCAGAGCAGCGCGGGGGCTTTCCCGCCCATGCGCTACGTCGACGGAGGTGGCGGGGGTCGGGTGATAACCATCCATGCTTTGGCGATGTTCGACGACCTCATCGTGAGCGGGACTGCAGTGGCCACAGGAGGAAGAGATGGAGGAAGAGATGGTAGTGGCGACGCCGTTCATCGGAGAACAACGTTCAGCGTTTCGGAGTGGTCTCCACAGCTTCTGCAGTCATCAACCTCAAGGGATCAGCGGCAGCGGTCTGGGGGGGGTATTACTAAGGGCCAGCCTCAGCAGCAGGAGCAGCTAAAGGAGGGACAGCAGGTGAAGACACTCCACTCTGCTGAAATGCTAGCCTCGTATTCCACCAGAGAGCCAGCTTTTCCCAGCTTAGTTCGCTGAACCCCGACAAAAAGCCGAACGAGCTCTGCAGATCATCGGGGATCGTGTGTAATGGTTGCCCTCCCTGTAACCCTCTCTTCTTGTAACGTCCGTCCAGCGGACCACCAGCACGACACACCGTGGTATTTATCAATTATGCTCAAGTTAGAGCGTTAGATGATCTTATGTTTCCTAATACGTGAAGATAGCTTCACCCACGTGCGTGCGGAAGCAAAAAAAGTGCCTGTCACACGGCAAAGCTGGGGCGCTTTTAGTTGCCCCGCAGTCTAGACTGCTGTACCGGTGTGGGTGTTCCTTTTGCAAGCTACGAGTGGAGACTGCAGCAGTAGACTGGTGTATTCTACATGCACAGATAGGTGCGCTGCTGACCCGGCCGTCGACCCGCCCATCGCGCCATCCATAAACAGGCGTATATATCTTGCAGGCATGATTTCCATTATCAGGCGTTTTTATCTTGTTGGCGTGACGCTCACCCTTAAAACAGCTCCTGCTTGCTGTACACAGCGGAGTAGTAGTTCGGGTCCCAATTACACGACGTCAACAGGATGTGCGTGTAAGTTGGCGCACCAAACCTGCCTTTTGGGGAAGGTTTATAGGCGCTCTTTCCACCAAGTCTCAACCGTGTGTTGAACTTCAGAACCCGTTAAAAGTACCTGGTAGTTTCGAAAGAAGCCGAAATCAAACCATTCGACGTGGCAGCTGCCTCTTTATTAGTGTAACAGTTTGATTTCGGCTTCTAGAAAATACTCCGTATGTCCTTAGGAAGGTGATTGCTTGCAGACATGCTGCCAGTTGCGATGGCGCAAAGTTGCGGGGCATTGTGAACTGCTTGCGTACGCCGTAGGTTGTAGCTGCCTGCCGTGAGGGTCTCCTGCTGATTCCGTGGCAAGCCTTTGGTTTGTGTGAGGAGCGTCGGTGGTGGCAAAGCTTACCTACATGTCCAGCAGTGACCCACTGCTGTTTCGCAGCTGAAAAGTTCAGAGGCTTCGGAGTAACATCATGGTGTGCATGCCTCACGCTAGCGTTCTGTCCTGCTTCTTTGTTTTGCATGGCGAACCAACGCGTGTGATAAAGTGGGGCCCAGGAAACGAGGGTTCCCTTTACATCACCCAACCCGAAGGCATACCACCCGGTACACACGAAACCCCCCCATGACCGCCGTAGATGAGTGTGAGGCGCTGGTTGCCTCGAAAGATTAGCCTTCATTCCCCTTCAATCTGGAAACCGTCCAATCTTTCTGAATTGAGAGATTGTTTTTTGGCAAGTTTTGACCTTGCGTGCTGCATCGGGGTTTTGGGTCGCGCCGCCCCCGCCGTCTCGTTTGCGTGTTGGCATGCCTAGGAGAGAAGGAGCGGACGACCCCGCTCACAAGATACATGCGCACAGTATGAGTTGGCTCTTCCCTTTCAAGCGCACCAGCAGTACAGGTCTATATATGTTCCTGGACGATGCAAGCCTCCTCTATAGAGCATTTACGTTTTCCCTCGCCATTTCTTGCGGCGGTTCATTCGTTCGAGAAGCATGGCCATAAGATAGATGGTTCGATGCTTGACAAAGCCGTGCACCGCCCCATTTCCATGCGTACCTGACCCAAGCAGAACGCGAAGGAATCTCCGTCGGGGGGCGCACGGTCAGGCGAACAATGCCCGACTGCAACCAAGCACCCGCACCTCCCCGAGCGGCAAGTTCCGCCGCCGGGTGACGGCGACAATGACGGCGGCGAGACTGACAAGGGCACCCGGGAATCCACGTCGCTGCAGCAGCAGCAGCGGCGACAGCGTCGACCCTCCCTCGCGGGGGGGAAGCAAGAGGCCTTCCGGTCGAGAGTCGTGTCCGGCCTGCTGCTGCACCTCTGTCCCCCGCCCGGGCACTTCGCGGATCTACTTGGCTGTGGGGACGAGCTGCTTCGGCACGTCCTTGGGATGCTCGGGGCGCGGGATCTGGCCACGGTTGGCCTGGTGAGAAAAGGGGGGGTGGTCAAGGCGTGCATGCCGTAGTCGGGGCGGGGGTGTACTCATGGCCGTGCATACCGTAGTCGTTAGACCATTAATCTCGCATCCCTACAAAGCCGGGGCGGGGCAAGCCGGGTTCTCACCGGACCATTGCCTTAGACCATCGACCACAAGGACGGAGCATTGTTCCCACAGGACCAATCGCAGATGATGGCCAATCGTTCCTTCCGAGGGGGCGGGCAGGATTAGAGGGAGACAGAAGCGAAGGAGGCAGCGGTAGACTGCGGACATACGGGTGGACACCAGGCTGTATTGGTCACCGCTGTCATTTTGGTACCGTAGTTGAACGCTACGTGGTGATTTACCCTTCGTGGGACTCTGCTATGTAGGACCGAATAGTCCTTGGTCCCGGGGACGATGGTGCCGAGACCTCTTGCCCGCCTTCTCGCGATCAAAACCCGAAACCTGGCTCTCAGTATCTTCTGTGCGTCGACGGCTTGTCACCCGCCCCCGCT